GCGCAACAAGAGAAATGCCGGTAACGAGCCGTAGTGGCGTCATATAATCATAACGAGCCACGGTAAATCGTCGTCGAGCGGCAGCGGTGGTAATACCGTCCTCAAGAAAGATCTCTAACCACCGCAGACGGTTACGTGAAAAGTAACGAGTCGCTCGTAATTCGTAATTCGTAACGACCGAGCGAGAAGCGTAAGCTTAACGACGTTGCTCGCGCGTAGTAATAAGAAGAGTGCACTCTTGGATATACGCCAGTCTTGCATAAATAGGCTGATGGACGAGTAAAGAGTGTTGACTTTGTGATTTCTAGATCTCGCGATCGATGATCTAAGCAACGAACAAGTAATTGGAAGCAATTTACGCTGATATATTGTATTACATAGTGGTATCTAGTATAACTGCAGAGAGAGAGAGAGAGAGAGAGAGATCGCTATTTATTAAGCGCTCCAGGATGAGTGTTCTCTCAAGCGCTTGACATAATACAAATAGAGTAATGACATATTTCTCATAATTAATGCAGTATATAGATTGATAAAATACACTACAAAATAAAATAAAAATAAAAGAATTAGAGAATAAGTAATTTTACAAAGAAAAAAAATATAAATAAAAACTTTGAGAGGGAGGAAGGAAGGGAGAAAGAAAATCATGCCATACCCGCGTGTCGGTCGCTGTCATCGCTGCGTCTCACGCGCGCGCGCGCGTAATGTTTGCATTTATAAATCCAGCGTCGACAACCGTGCGGCTCGCAACGGCAGCCAAAAGCTCCGTGTTTGGCTGTACGCCAGAATGCGACACGACAATATAACACGGAACGTCGAATGGACGTCGTGATAATTCCGGGAAACGATAAGCCTCGTTCGTCGAGTCGCGTAACGATTACAACCCGCAAGTAGAACATATAAGTTATTACATCAAAATAACGTTAAAACAACTCCAAAATGATTATTAAAAATTAATTTTTGATCGATCACGATTTATTTTAATGTCATTTTCATGTTATCGCGACTCGTTGTTCTGCTTAGAGTACCGATTTCAATCTGCGGACAATTTTCTTCCTCTTTCTTTGTATCTCGTTCTTTCGACAGAATTGTGAAATTGCGGCAGAGAGAAACGGAATCGTGAAACGTTAGATCCTGCGAATGAGACGGCTGTTAATGGATGGAATAAACGTGACGTGAAAGTGGGTAATTAGAAAGGCTGGGGAGTGCTAGTCACGAGAAGATCCGGACAGGATCGCTCGAGGGAAGCGAGCGAGTCTCCGGGGATTGGCACGCGGGTGACGCAGGAAAGTGTCGCCTTCCTCTTAATGTAATATTCCGGTTTCATCCACACTTACGCGGAATCAGATACGCGGAGGTATCTGTCCTCGCCCCCGCAAAACTTTCCGCGACTTCAAGTGGGACCGCTTAATTCCCTACTTGACTGCCGCGTCGTCCAGTCGGTCCACCCCCGTTTACTTTTCTCTCGACTTCAGTGTCGATACATTCGCTAACACTTTGCGCGGCGTGGCTTTCACTATACAATTACAAGGCCCGTCTTCCTTACAGAACGATAATAGGGATGAGTTGTCAAATGCACACCGGTCGCTTAAATCGTACCTTATTAATATTTTATATTAGTATTTAATACAGTCAACATTTAATGTATAATCAAACAAAAATATTTCATATTTTTGATTGATTATACTTTTTCTAAATATTTCATATTTTTATCATAAAATGTTGATTATATTATAATCAACATTTATAATAAATAATAATATAAAATATTGAGACACGATTTAGGCGATCGGTATGTATTCAGCAATTTTTTTCTACATTTTTTTCTTTGCATTTTTTTTCTTCCTTGCTCTTCTGCTTTTCTTTCTTTCTGCATCACGAGCGTCTGTTCTTTTCCGACATATCCTTTCCATTCCACTTTTGCGTGTTGCAAAAAAAAAATAGAGAATTCGGTCGATTCATCACGCGTGCGCGCGCGCGCGAGAGAGAGAGAGAAAACAGAGGGACAGAGAGAGAGAGAGACAATGTGTGTGTGTGTGTGTGTGTGTATGTGTAACAAGAGGAGAGAGTCACGCGGGAAATTAACCTCGCTTTAATTTTCATTCTTTTTCCGGAGAATGGTGGCGGTGGCGGTGGCGGTGGCGGCGGCGGCGGCGGCGGCGGTGGCGGCGGTGGTGGTGGTGGTGGTGGTGGTGGTGGTGTTGCGAGGCGTGTTTCTCAGTGGTGTGGGCTTTCTCACAGCACACATGCGTGGCTCACACGGTGTACATAGTGCACACACCGCCACTATCTCGGTGTCCTCGTGTGTACTTCGCGTTTGCGTTCTGCAGGGGGTATGGGGGTTGGTTTTATTGATCGTGAGGCAGGAAACGCTTTCGCGGCGCCGCGCATTGTGATCGTAAAACGAAGGAGCATCCGCGAAGTCACCCTTGAGATTTTTCCCCGTGATACATAGAGGAGTGGAGGGGGAGGAGGACACATGAGGGCCGATCGATCCTTGCATCTCCTGAGTCATCGATATCGATTCATCCCCCGGCATTCTAGAGTTCCAATAACAGGCACTCTACGCCTAAATTGTCCCGTACGCGCGGCGTGAACTCGCACGTGGTTAACGCGTATAAATGTTCCTCTTCTTTGCAGAAGAGGACAAGGAGATAGGATTCGCATTTCGTCGTCGGCGAACAACCGTAAAGGCTCGCGTAAAGAGGCGCGAAATAACGTCTCCGTTCTTCCATTCGACGAGGAAGGCCGCTTTCATCCCAGCGCGACTCGTCTTTCCTGGACTTTCTGTATCCTCGCCGCGCTTTCGCGAATATGCCGGACGTCGTCCCGCAAAGGGCACGACACGGCGGGGGTCGGGGCATCGCGACGTTCTCTACAAAGAGTATCTCCGATTACTCGTGCGACATGCCCTTTTACGACGGAACATGTCTCATTACGCCGTATAAATAAAGCGCACGCATTACGATCATATACATATATATATGATCGTAATGCGTGCGCTTTATTTATACGGCGTAAATATATATATATAGGTATTTCGTGATGCCTCGATCGTCTCGCGTGCACTTTCATGCGTGAGGGAACGGCTTGGTAGGAAGGGAAAGAGAAGTAAAACGGGCGAGACACACACGGCTCTAGTATATCGGACTCGAAGTACACTTGAAATGACGAGCACCGAATACGACGCAAAGTGTTGTTCTGCGCGGCATAAAAGTTTTCTACTCCATCTGGATGCCGATCACGTATATACATCTCTCGTCGACTTGTTCACCTTTTGCTTCCGAGTCCCGCGAGAAACGCTCGATTTTATGCCGTTACACTTTTGCCGACGATCGTGAAAAATAATTCAAAGGAGACGAAGCGACTAAATCGTGTGTGTGTATTTGTGTGTGTGTGTGTGTGTGTGTGCGCGCGCGCGCGCGCGCACACACACACACACACACACACACACACGACGGGGATATAAAGTGTCAGGAAATACTCTTCCGCTTTTTTTTATTTTTATTAAAGGACAGGCACAGGGAAAAATATAATTTGCAAAGTTGTCTCCGTTCGTCTCATTAAACGGAGTGCTTTGTTTTATGGATCGCGCGAATAATCCGTAGTTCTGATGGCCATCAAGCTATTATCCTACGCTTCGTTCTTAAAATAGGAATAACTACAAAATTACTTTTCTTCTCGCTGAATGGTTCGTTTTGCATATGAATTATGTATACACCTACGTGTCCTGATGGCGATGAAACCATTCTTTTAAATAACTCGTTAAAATAAGGGAGCTATCTTAGCTCTCTCTCCCTGTCTCTCCCCCCACTCTCTCTCTCTCTCTCTCTCTCTCTCTCTCTCTCTCTTGCCGACCTTCCTGAGAGAACGAGGATAAGAAACAAACAGGGAGAACGAGGAGCGTATTCACGAGAAGCAAACGAGCTATTTGCTATTTACAAGCTACGTATTATTGGATATGTATATCGACGTGAATCTGCGATATACACACCAAATGTGCTGCGCGCTCTTTTCGACTGAACGGAGCGATATGTGGATATGCAAAGTACGGAAAAAAGGGGGGCCCGGTCAGCAGGGCCCCTTAGAGAAACGGTCACACACCTGCCCGACAGAGAGATCCCTTCGCCGAGGGACCGAGAATGCGCGCGCGTTACCGCCGCCAGCGTCGCCGATCGCTTCGACATCGCGCGATTCCATCGCAGTGCATCCTGTAAAACCCTGTAAATAGATCCCGTAGGCCTTTAGATGAATTTAGAGGTAGCTCAATTAGTCAGTGCTGAGACACGCAGCCGGGTTTGCCAGAGTAGTACGAAGGGGGAGGGAAGGGAGGGTGCTAATTGAGAGCTAATTGAGAATGCAATATAGGCAATAGAGGCGCGTCTTTAAAAACCCCCAGCGCGAATTTTCCTTCAGCCCGTTTGCCGCTAGTGTAGTGATGTCTTAATGATGCTGATTGATTAATTGCTATTAATGTATACGCGAATATAATGCATTGCGCCTATTCAATCGCTCGGCCATATTGCTCGCTTGCGAGCAGGCAACGTAGACCGGCTTTTATCGACACCTCGCGTGCTTCACAATAACGTAATTTCACGGTGGGATTGATCTAGTATTTTACTTTCCTTCTGGCTTTTTGATCAATCGCGACGTCGCGAGATCGTTTCGCGCCACCAGTCGGGGTGACGTGTGCGTTTCACGGTAATAATAAATCATAAATCGGAGAAAAAAGAAAAAGAGAAAGAAAAAAGAAACGATCTTGCGTTGACGACGCGGAACGCAGAGAGCGTAGGCTCGCGCGGGGGTAGAAATTGGGATTGACTGAGCCAAAGGGTTTGTCTTTCCGGTGTTGCAGGATGCACGCGGTTGGATTACACTCGGCGCTGGCCATCAAGCGTCAGCGAATGCGCCGAGACGAGCAGCGTCGCGCGCGCGAGCGTCGTTATAGTGCACAATCGGGTGAAAGCGGCCTGACGTCGCCTAGGGCCTCGACCGGATCACTGGACCATCACGGCAGGCACCACAAGGGCACGCATGGCGGGGCGCGCGCGGCCGGCCAGGGTATGCTGGACACAAAGGTAGTTACCTCGATCGGGATGCTGCACATTGGTGTGGTATTCCTGGTGCTCGGCGCTTTCCTGTTGATGAGCGGCCTGTTACCGGGCGACCTCGCCCACTGGGGCACCAAGGCATCCGGCGGCTGGTGGAACGAGCTGGTCGCGATCGGCCTGTTCGCGATCCTCGTCGGTGTCTTCCTGATCGTTCTGAATCGCGTGATCGCAAAGAAGGAGGAGGACGATCTCGAGGAATACGTGCAGCGGCAACTCACCCGATCCCGTTCCGGGCATCGATTGGAGCGCGACGTGGAGACCGGCGGGCTGACCACCCGCCACGCCCGACGGGCGAAGCAAATGAGGCAAGTGTCGTCGGACACTTGCCTCGAAATCAAGGACAACGGCAAGGTTGACAACGGCGGCGGTAGCGGTTCGCCGCCACGGAGCCCACCGCCGGCATACACACCGCAGGTTACGATCAACGGCGACAATCAGTCAGTGGTCCAGGCAGGGCTCTACCTCGAGCAGATCACCGAGGAGGAGATTATCAGCGACCGCGTCGAGACTTCGACCACCAACAGCCTCAGTCCAGGCTCGCCCAGCGAGACTCGGGAACTGTTGCAGAACACACGATACTCGAAGCAAAACGGAAACCCGCAGCAGGTTCATCGACCGCTTTACATCTCCAAGATCTAAATAGTAGGATTGAGAGAGGACAGCGAGAGAGAGAGAGAGAGAGAGAGAGTGGAGGGGGGGGGGTACAAGCAGATAACGCGACATGCAAAAAAGTCCGCTTTCTATCCAAGATTCTTATTGGTGTCTTCCGACTGCAGTATTCTTGGGAGTGAAAATAGTGAAATTTCGCAGTCAACGCGAGCAGGTCGTACAAGTCGGGCGATAAAATTACGAAGAAACGATGCGACGCGTAGAAGAGTACGAGCGAGGTGAGAGATCTTGCGACGCTGCAAGATACATAGGCAAAATCAGAAGAGACTCAGGAAGACGGAATACCCGCGTGGATTTTACGCGACATAACGCGACGGCGTATTTGCCGTCCCTCGTATTTCCCTCGTATTTGCAAGTCGAGATGCGTATCGATAAGAGTGTTTCTTCCGGGGAGGGGAAAACTTCCGAGGAGAGCTTGACAAGCAAAACTTTCAATAATCATATACACATAATCACAAACATAAATGGTACAACACACGTACAACACACGCTCGACGGATGAAGACGGTAGGAAACCGTAGAGTCGAATTCAAGGACCAAGAACACTACTCGTGGAGATTATATCGCAGAAAGAAGCACAACTTTGCGAAAAACGATTTTGTTGTTAAAAACGCATTCTATTATATATATATATATATATATATATACATATACTTCGATAAATAATCGTTAAAAATCGTTTCTACTTAAAAAAAATCTATTAGGCGTATAAGCGACGGTGCATGTATGATAATCCTCTATGCACTTTTTACTTGTCCTACATAAATAAGTTTGATCTTGTCATTTGCTAGTTTCTAAACATCGAGACGCTTATAATAAAGAAACAGATATACATGTTGATTTAAATTATACTCGCTCTCCATAAAAATAGGATCATTATTTCTTTTTTTCATTGATTTCATTGAGCACTATAAATATTCGAAACGACTCATTTCATTGAAAGATCTCACGAAAATTATTATTTACACCGTTATATATCATCACAGCATCGGAAGTGAAAGAGTTATTTATGACACGAACCGACGACGCGTCATTTCTGGATCGTGGAGCCCGGATGTTCCGGCAATAATCACACGACATTCCATTTTGATTTCGATATATGTATATTCTAGCGCTAATGCTCTCTTCGCGAACTTCGAAAAAACGATTAATATATGCATACACGCGTGTGTTATGTATGGCGAAATTCCATGTATGTACGCCGGGAAAAATTGCAACTATTCGTCCAGCGACTGTTGTTGGCGCGCTAGCAGTATTGTTAAGCTAGTCGATAATTTGTAATATGCTGTATTCCTTTTTATAATATATTATAAAATTTATTTACACATAAACACACACGTACTAGCTTTAGTCAGTGGGGGATCCGCGGGGACGAACGGCGGCGTCGCGCGCAATTTCTCTTTTAAGTATGGGTCTTCTTGTGTGTGTGTATATATGCGCGCGCGCGCGCGCGTACGTGTATGTGATTCCATTAAATCGGGCGAACGTAAATTACGCATGATGGTGAATGCGCGTTACGCCATGCCGTACGTTCGTTTGCTCGTTCGTTCCCGGATATCTCTCTTCAAAATGAAATATCGCTATGCTCGGGCGCTACTATTCTGTGATCCTAAGAAGAGAAGTTAATCGTCTTATACGTTTTACATGTCAGATGAATTTATTGAAAATGGTTTTTTCGCGGTAGCGGTACCGTGTTCGCGTGTGTGCTCTGTACACGCATATACTGCTATATACCTACTTATGCACTCGTGTCGCGTAACTATTATACGTGCTGTTCTTATCGCCATCGTGGTGGCGCTCCAACTACTCTTTAATGAAACGTCCCCTCTATATATTTAATTGTATGTAACTACAATTTTTTATGCCTTTTACAAATTTAAGAATACGAGAGAGAATATGTATTTTGTGTGTGTGTGTGTGTGTGTGTGT